TAGAATAACAGAATTTAAGTAGCTCCAGTTCTGTTTCTTCATCTTTACTATCACTATACTAGTATTGTTTATTTTAAAAACCCTGTTTTAATGTAGGAATATATAGTGCCACAGGAGCTGGAGACACAAACCGCCCTCAAACTGAGCTCAAACAATTCTGAACCATTAATGAGCTTTTAAAGAGAATCCAGCAAATGTTTTTAATAATGTAAGAGGGAAAATGGCGCCTTTCTGATAAAATATAAATCTTTAAAATAAGTCAGAATGCCAATATTATGTTGAAATAGAAAAACTACATAGGACCAGAAACTGCACTTAGAAATGGACATGATCTACTCATAGACCCTTTACTTTAATCCATTCTAAAGTAAAAAAAAAGATTCCTTTTAGAAATCCAAACTTTTAATCATTTATGAATTTATCCTTGAAATGAATATTTGTATCAGAGTCTCTGTGTGTCAAGGATCAGCTATAGAACTGAAGTTTTCTGAATTAACATCTATGCATAATACAGTGTTTATTAAAGGATAAGTAACAAAAATGTGCTAATGTGAAGCTTGTATATATTTTTTAAAACTCAAGTGACCATAGCAATTGTTTACAATTTAGACGAACAAAAGATTTTTTTCAGGGAGGGGTATTTTAACACTGAAATTGCTTAAAATTGCCAGTTCATGGAGCTCATGAAAAAACAGACCAACTTTTTGTTGATTTTATTATTGTTTTTACATTCTCTACAGATGATGCACCCTCTTATTGCGTGTACCTGGGGCAAACCATTCCTACCACTCCACCCTTGGTATACCAGAGGTCCCACAGAAGATCCTACAATGTTATAGCCAAAATCCAGCATTCCCACATCAAATAAAAAATACTCAAGTAGCCATAAAGAAAGAGTTTAAGTACCAAGGAACCACATTCAAGATCACATAAGACCTGACTGCTTTTACTCTAAATAAAAGGAAATCTTAGAATACTGCATTCCAAAAGGCAAATGATTTGGCTTATAACCAAGTATAACTTACTCTATAAAGCTGATTATAATAATACAGGGGGAAAGTAGACCATTAATTGAATAAAGGACTTTCAAGCACTTCTGATAAAAATATCAGCGCTAAGTAGGAACTTTGAAATGAAAACATGAATAAGTAAAAATGTAAATTTATTTGAACAATTGGAAATAGCATATGATGATGAAAGGCTAACATTCTAATGGGAAGTGAAAAAGCAAATGTCCCCTCAGAACCTTAATGTCTTCAAAGGGTGTTGAGGGATTTAAATAAGAAAAACAGGAGATCTGAGGCTGGTTTGGTTTTGTTCTGAAGGTTTTTGAAGGGGAAAGGAAAAGTATCATAAATGGGATACACTAGTATAGAAGAGAAGAAGGGAGTGAAACTATTTCTTATAATTGAGGTATATGAGAATAGTATACAAACATGCAGGAAGGGCCAGGAGGGGAACAGGCATCAGATGAACCTCACTGTTTTCTGAACTAGATAAAGGAGGAAGGAGTGATGAACTCTGCCACTCCCCCACCCACCCACCCACGTGCGGGTGCCTGTGCTTAACAAAAAGAGAAAAGAATCTGGTGGAACAGTATATCAAATGTAATGAGGATACAGGAGGGGATAGGGAAAAGTAGGGGTTAAGAGGGAGGATAATACTGATAGGAAATGTCTCAAGCAAAGTGAACTTCCCAATCCTGAAGTTCAAAACAAAACGCAACACAACAGCAAAGAACTGGAAACTAAGGGGTGCCATCAGTTGGGAAATGGTAGAATAAATTGTGGCTTATGAACATAATGGGGTATTGTTGCATTGTAAGAAATGATGAGACAATTCCAAGGAATCCTAAGGAATATAAACTGATACATAATGAAGTGAGCAGAACCAGTAGAAGAACTGAAACGATGACAGCATCTGTATAAATAAAACAACTTAAGGACTTAAAAACTCTGTTCAAAGCAACAACAGGTCTAGAGGACTGTGGAGCACAGCACCCCCTCCTGGCAGAGAGGTGATGGACTCAAGGTACAGAAAAAGACATAGTTGGTTGTTTTGGTTTGGGAGGGGGGGGTTGCTTTTTTTTTTTTTGCTTGTGGCCACTATGTGGATTTGTTTTGCTTCATAATGCTTATTTGTTAACAAGAAGATTTTTTTCTTTTGTTTTTAATGGCAAGAGGGCTAAAGGGAGAGAGAGGGAATATCAATGGTGATGTTTCCTAAAAAAAAAAAAAAGAAAAAGGAGGGCCTTTGAAACATTTTAAAAATGCGGAGGAGTACAGAAGAAATTCAGAAGAAAGCACAGATAAACAGAACAGTTTTGAAAGTTAACAGATTAAATTTATTTATGTATATATTTTTAAAAAGCAAGTGATATGGACTAGAAACTTAGAGTTTAGCATATAATTCCCTTTGTATTCTACTTTATATGAAAATACAAATTATAAATATGGAAATGCTCATTTTGGGGGTATTTGTTAAGTTCAGTTTTTTTAATTTAAAAGAAAAATGCAAATTAACACAACTTTGAGGTTTTAGTTCATACCTATCAAATTGGCAAATCTAATAAAAAAAATAGTCAATATCTAAAGGATTGTGGGAACTCAGACATACTACAAACACTGTTGGTAAAGTTGTAAGTGTGATCTTACCATTCCAGAAGACAATTTGGAATTACATGGTTAAAGTTAATAAATTGTTCATACCCTTTGATGTAGCTTATATCCCAACGAGGTCAGTAGTAGAAAGAAAGATCCTATATGCACCCAAATATTCACATAAGTGCTTTTTGTAGTAGCAAAAAACTGAAAATAAACTGGGTGCCCATCAGTTGAAGAATGACTGAAGAAATTATAAATATACGCCTGAAGAAATAAGAGAATATTGGGAAGACATACAAACTTATACAGAGCAAATTAAGCAGAGCCAATTGAACATATATGCCAGTAAGAATATAAATGAAAATAAGAATTGAAGACATAATTAAGATTGAACATAATGACCAGTATAGGTTCTAGAGGACTGATGATACAATATACTGCCTTCCTATAGGAAAGGATGTGTTGGACTATGAGTACATATTATTGAATATTCTGTCAGCTAAATTTGCTGTGGTTTTTTTTGTTTATTTGTTTTTTTATTATAAGAGAGGAATCTGTGGGTAGAATAGGTTGTTGAGAAGTGATAGTGGTGTAAATACCAAAAAGCAGAATGTTAGATTTTCAGAATCTAGCGTTCTTCATATCTAAGAGTTTTATTAATAAAGCAAATGAAATTCTGAACAGAATTATTCTGCATGACTCTTTACTGGCTCCATGAATTCACTTCATTTTCTAAGCATTTACAACTCATCTATTTAATAACCTGTTCTAGAATTGTTCTGTGAGAAATTCCAAGGTTACAACTTCAAGAATCCTCCTTGACTGCATTTAGAAAAGCAGAACATTGCTGTGGAGTCAGGAGGACCTGAGTTCAAATCCAGCCTCAGACACATAAAAACCCACTAGCTGTGTGACTCTGGGCAAGTCTCTTAACCCCAATTGCCTCACTGAAAAAAAAAAAAGAAATTAAAAAAAGAAAAGCAGAACATCTTCCTATCTCAAGTTTTCTTCACCTCTCTCATTCTGTGTGATTTCTCACCTCTCCAAGTTCTTTTTGTATTTTGACTTAATTGTTTGGGCTTGTATATGTACTTTATTTAAATTGGCTTTGTACTTTATTATCTGTGTCTTTAGTTTCATCTTAATGACTTTTGAGAGGCAATATTCTAGTGGAAACTGTGCTGGACTAAGAGTCAGAAGCCCTGGGTTCTAGTTTGGCTAAGTCATTTGCTCTTCTTTTTTGTGTTTTGTTTTGTTTTTTGCGAGGCAATTGGGGTTAAATGACTTGCCCAGGGTCACACAGCTAGTAAGTGTCAAGTGCCTGGTCTGAGGCCAGATCTGAATTCAGGTCCTCCTGACTCCAAGGCCGGTGCTCTATCTAGTAAACCACCGCTGTCCCATGTCATTTGCTTTTCTTAAGCCTCAGTTTTATTATTAAAATGATGATATTATCTGCCCTGTGTACCTCTTAGATTGTTTGTATTAAATGTGGATGAATGTGAAAGCTCTTTGTAAATTGTGTATTGCTATACCCATGTAAGATATTATACTATAATACTTCAGAAGATCCATCACCTAGTGGTCAACCTCTTGATGATAAACCTCTTCAGATTTAGCTATGCTGCTGATTGGGAAACAGACACATTAAAGGCTATCTCCATAACTGAATTCTTTCCAGTCTGGTCGAAGCTACCACAGTTTGCATCCTAGTGGCAGGCATCTTCTTCAAGAACCTGTTAGCCACCTGCCTAAATGAGGCATTTAGAGTAGGACTTCCCAGGACAAAGATTGTTTTCCTTGCTGTTTTATTTTCCCAGTACAGAAAAGAGGATAAATTTGCATTTTTTATTTCTTTCAGATTGGGAGACTAGGCCTGAAATAGAGGAGTCAACTGCAAAGCAGGTCATTTCTGCAGAAGAATTATCCCAGGAAAAATGTAAAAGGGATGGTTGCCAGGACTTCAAGTTGGGAAAAACTTGGGAATATGAAGTCATGTTAGAGAAGCAAGAGGGCAACCAGGAGAGACCTTCCAAGCAAATGGCAACAACTCATATGAAAACTAACAAGGTGACCAACCATGAAAGTAATAAATTTGTGAGAAAATTCAGACTGGGATCAGTATTTGCTTTACAACAAAGAATTCCTATAGAAAAGAATCTCCGTAAATTTGATAAGCATGGGAAAAGTTTCAAACAGAATTCAAACCTGATTAAATGTAATAGGATCACCTCAGGAAAGAAACTTTATAATTACAATGAATGTGGAAACTCGTTCAGGTACCACTTAGACTTTATTCAGTATCATACTGGAAAAAAATCCTATAAATGCAATGAATGTTCAAAAGCTTTCAATAAGGAGTCATCCCTCAGCAGGCACTGGAGAATTCACATTGGAGAGAAAACCTATGAATGTAATGAATGTGGGAAAAATTTCAATGAGAGGTCATGTTTAAATAAACACCAGAGAATCCATACAGGAGAGAAACCCTACAAATGTAATGAATGTGGGAAAGCCTTCACTGGTAGGTCATCCCTTAGTAGACATCAAAGAATCCATACTGGGGAAAAACCCTATGAATGTAATGAGTGTGGGAAAGCCTTCATTCAGAGTATACATCTTACTCGACATCAAAGAATTCATACGGGAGAGAAACCCTATAAATGTAATAAGTGTGGGAAACCATTTAGATGGAATACACAACTTATTCTGCATCAGAGGATCCATACAGGAGAGAAACCCTATGAATGTAATGAATGTGGAAAAGCCTTTAGCCGCAGCACACACCTTAATCAACATCAGCTAATTCATACTGGAAAGAAACCGTATGAATGTATTGTATGTGGGAAGGCCTTCAATGATAGGTCATCTGTCACTAAGCATCAGCGAATTCATACTGGAGAGAAACCCTATGAATGCAGTGTATGTGGGAAAGCCTTTCCTCACAGGTCATCCCTTACTGAACATCACAGAGTTCATACTAGAGAAAAACCCTATGCATGTGATGCATGTGGAAAAGCTTTCAGCCGTAACACGTACCTTACTCAACATCAGAGAATTCATACAGGAGAGAAACCCTTTGAATGTAATGAATGTGGGAAAGCCTTTGGCCGGAGCACGAACCTTGCTCAACATAAGAGAATTCATACTGGATTAAAACCCTATGAATGTAATGCATGTGGGAAGGCCTTCATTGATAGGTCATCCCTTTCTAAACATCAGAGAGTCCATACTGGGGAGAAGCCCTATGAATGCAATGAATGTGGGAAAGCTTTTAGCCACATATCTTCCCTTACGAAACACCAGCGAATTCATAATGGAGAGAAATTTTAGTTGATGTGGAAAATTCCTTATAAATTCAACCCATACTCAACATTAGAGAATTCATCCTAGAGAACACTGAGGTAGTGTGGGCAGTGAAAAGAGTTGGATTTGGAATCAGAGGACCTGGCTCACATCCCAGCTCTTTCAACTTACCCTGTGACCTTGGGCAAAGTTATTTAAACTTTCTGGGTCTTAATTCCTCTTCTCTAAAGTAAGGAAGTTGAGCAAAACGAACTCTAAGATTATTTCCAGTTCCAAACCTATGGTCTTTCAAGCATCCTTTACCCATTAAAGGAATCATATTGGTGAGCAGTAATATGTACACAAAGAATGTAGGAAAACTTTAATGCAAAATATAGCACTTACTCAACATTACAATCATGGAGAGTAACCATATGAAAGTGACATGTAAGAAAGTCTTCAGATGTACTTCAGCTCACATCAAACATTAGGCACTTTAATGGATCTGTGATCTCCTTAATGTGGATACTCTCCAATGATGCTCATTCTGAGCAACTTTTATCTTCCCATAAATCTTCCACAGGGCAGTCTACCCAACATGCTGGAAGTCTTCCTTTGATTCTTGTGAATCCTATGCATGCCTACAAATGAAGCATGTAGCCTCTTAATCAGTTATCACTCACTTTCACCACATGAGCTACCTAACTTCTTTTCTGATCATGTGGCACTGTGACATCCTGTATGCCACTTCTCTGTTATTTGTTGGATGGGAAGTGTGTTACACAACCCACTCATGCCCACCACTTGAATTCTTTGGAGACAGTGGTATTTTGTGGTTCATAGCCATACAGCATCACTGAAAGAATATTGTTTTTAAAAAGGTGGGCCTTTGTTTCAGGAAGAAGCTTGGAGTCATCAAAAAGACTGCACCGTTTCCCAAATTCAATCCAGCCTAGAGATTGCTGTGCTCCTATTCAATCTTGGACCTAACTCTTTGTTAATGTGCAGTCTTCCTAAGATAAATGTACTGATAAACCAACTTTATAGGCTGTCCATCTAACTGCATATAATAGTCAGGACAATAGGCATTATTAAGCCACTTTTTTTTCCCTCTGGTATGGATAGTTAGGCAAACTAACATTAACTGGAATTTGTCTTAGAGAGTAACCATATGAATGTTTCGTGTAAGAAAGTCTTTAAATTCAGGTCAGCCCACATAGAAAATTAGAAACTTTATTTTGATTCTATGATGGATCTGTAATCTTATTGATAAGAGTATTTCCTTCAGTGGAGCGGATCACAGATGATCCATGCTCCCTCATTCTGTTCAAATATTATCCACATATGTTTGATAAATCTTCCACAGGAGCTCCAGGTTTAATGCAATCCACACAATGTCAGTCACAAACAGGAACATATGGAGGACCATAGCATTTATAGTAAATCTTCCATTTGGATTCTTTACTAAACATCCTCCATGATGGTGGCAAATAAGTTTGGCAACTACACATTTCCCTTTTTTACACTTCACTTAACGCTAGTCTTGAGAGGGTTGTTGATTGAAGTTTATCTCATATTTTTCAAGGCATCTTGTATTATTCCAATATGCATGGGGGTAATCCTAAGAACATAATGAATTAAGAGAAATCTTCTTTGACACCAATCCTGTAAGTACTGGCTTTTCTTGCACGTTGCCTTTTAATAGAGGATTTCAACTATAGCATTCTTTCCTGTTTCCCCCCTCCTCCATTTTATTAGCCATTTGATGGACTTAAATACGCAGTGGAACTAAAATAATGAGACTGACATTTTATGGAAATGTACTAGAACTAATGCATCCAATTGAGAAAATTCATTTTAAGGACAGATCTGCTCTTTGCTACCTCACCTTGTATTTAACTTTAGTTTTGGTTTTAAGGAAAGAAAATTTTTTCTTTACATTCACTCTAAATTGAACATAATGTTAGAATCTCAGCAGCTTAAATTTTTTTTTTCATTTCTATGTATTCTCTATTCTCCATTAAGTTCTCATTAAAATAACGTAGGAAACCATTCCCTGACTTTTGTTCCTGACACTTAATTAATCTGGTTTTCCCACCCTCTGAGCTTCTTACTGGCACAGGGACTGTTGCAGATGGCAGACAGTTAATAAATGCTTATTGAATTGAATAAGATACTACAAGGTATATTGATGAGGGAGAATGTCATAAAATGGGAATTGACAAAGTTGGGGGAATATTCGGTAAGCTTATGTAGTCAGAACTATTTATATTTTATAATTCTATTCCATTGATATATTTTTCTATTTTCTTAAATCTAGTACCAGATAGTTTGATTATTACTGGTTTTGAAATGCAATATGGTGATATACGCTTCATTAACCTTTTTTTTTCATGGTTCCCATTGATAACCCTTTTTCTTTTTGTGCTTCCATGTAAATTTTGTTATTGTTTTTATCTCTTTCTAAAAAGTGACTAATTGATATTTAGTATTAGCATTATTGTTAGTATATTTAAGTGAGGGAATACCCTCTTCAATTGCAGATCTGTGGCAACCATCTATAATTTGCTGTCCTAGCAACTTATCTGGGATTCAGGGAAGGTAAGTGACTTTCCGATGGTCACAGAACTAGGTACGTGGCAGAGGTGGGTTTCAATTCCAGTTCTTTCTGATTCCAAGTGAAGCACTCTATCCATTATGCCACACTACCTTTCTTGATGTTGTATTACAGCTATATATTATATATGAGAAATAGTGACAGTTTTGTTATACTACATCATTCCAACCATTTTAGAGGCCATTTCTCCAGTTATTATTTTTCTTTATTTCTGTCATATAGTTTGGAAATTCTCTTTATATATGTCTTGGGTCTTAGTAAGTTAATGCCCAATAGTGGATTTTTAAAATTATTATAAAGAGTATTTTTCTTCCTGTAATTCTTCTTTCATTTTATTAATGATACATAAAAAATGCAGATGATTTTTGTAGGTTTATCTTATGCCCCCCTACTTAATATAGTCATGCATATATTAATGCATTCTGAGACTAATTAATTAATCCTGATTCTGATTAGCTTTTAAGACCAGATGAGATCAGGTACCTCTCAATCTCTTGGATTTTCTAAATATATAACATATTATTTGGAAATAAAGATAGCTTATTCATTACAAAGATACTTCTTTAATTTGTTTTCATGCCTTATTGCTATAGCTTGCATTTCTGAAACTATGGTGAATATTAATGTTGAAAGTGAACAAATCTGTTTTGAGTGAGAATGTTTATAATGTTTCTCTATTGCATATGATATGGTTTTAAATAAATACTATATAAAATCATATTTTGATACTCCAATGGATCCATGATCTCATCATTCAACACGCATATTTTAAGCACCTACAATGTGCAGAGCACTGGGGAGATAACAAAGTTTAGATTAGACACAGTAACAGGCTTTCATGGACATTCCAATAAAGGGTTGATACAAATATAGATAAGTATAATATACAACATTACATGATAAATACTTTTAAAAACTGCAAATGAAATCCTATGTGAGGTCTGAGATAAGTCATTATTAGTTGGGGAGTATGAGGAAAAAAACTTCAAGGAAGCCTTTGAGTTGAGTTTTAAAGGATGAGTGGGAGTTCAGCAAGTAAACAGAGGGATGGCATAGAAGACACAGGGAATAAAGATATGGAAGTAGGATGTATTTGTGACATTATGAAGTCAGAATAGCCCTGTTTTACCAGAGTATATAGAAGGTTGGAAAAGTAGAGTCATTAAGGGTCAAATAAAAGGACTAAAGTGGCATCGAAGGTCCAGTTGAAGTTAACTTAATTTTTTTTTAAATTTTTTTGGCAATTGGGGTTAAGTGACTTGCCCAGGGTCACACAGCTAGTAAGTGTCAAGTGTTTGGTGTGAAGCCACATTTGAACTCAGGTCCTCCTGACTTCAGGGCCGATGCTTTATCCACTGCACCACCTAGCTGCTCCTTGAAGTTAACTTAAAATAGTAGTGGATAATGTGAAATCCAGGGCAGCTAAGTGACATGGTAAATAAAGTGCAGGGCCTAGAGTCAGGAAGACTCATCTTTCTGAGTTCAAATCTGGCCTCAGACACTTCCTAGCTGTGTGACCCTGGTTAAGTCACTCAACCCTGTTTGCCTCAGTTTCCTCACCTGTAAAATGAACTGGAGAAGGAAATGGCAAAACACTATAGTTATCTTTGCCAAGAAAACCTCAAGTGGGTTATGAAGAGTTAGACATGAATGAAAAATGACTGAACCACAAGAACAAAAAGTAAAATCCATTTCATGACTTCACCCTGATGGTGAGTAGTCAAGAAATTGTGTGTTGCAGTTTACCGAGGGACTAGGCATCTCAGATAAGAAAAGGCAGAACATTATAGGGGCAAGAGATTATGAAGAAGTCAAGGCTGGGTAATGAGTAGGAAAAGCCAGAATGGGTGAAATGGGCTAAGCAAGTCAGATTGGGTAAAGGGGCCAGAGTTCAAAAAGATGACTAGATTAGAGGTAGTAAGATAGGAGAGACGAAAGTGTAGGTGGTTAGAAAGTGAAATTTCAAAGAGCATCCCTTCTCCCTTAGATGATAGCAATAGTGTCTTAATTGGTCTCTCAACTCCAATATGACCTTTATATAACAGAAGACACCCCTCCTACACTATATGCTAGCAACCATGCATACTTTAGTGGCAATCATCAATCTGACCCTTCTTTAGGTGGGATAATTTAAATTTTTTAATTTATTATAACTATAATTGTAGCTATGATTATGATATATTTTAAAAGAAACTTGAGGAAATAGTGGTTTATTTTGTGAATTGTTAAAAATTTAGGTAAATCACCCAAAACTTTTAAGCAGCCAATGTGGGACATATTAGAAATTCTAAGAAGCAAATACAGGACATCAAAAGGAATTAACTGCTCAGAATATAGAGTATGCTACTAATATAAAATTTTAAAGATAAAAAATTAATGTTTTAGTGAGAGCTAAAAGGTTTTATATCATTGAGAAAAATATTTTTAAATTATTTTTCACCTTTATCTCCTTTTCAATATCTATTTTTGTTTCATAACATTCATAATGTAATATGAATTCAGTATGTTTTATAATTTAACATACTAGTACTTTTATATAAATTATAAATAAACAAGATTTTTTTACTGCTAGGAGTTTATATCAAAATAGTTTGGAAAACACTGGCCTAGAGCACTGAGAGTTTATATGATTTGCCCAAGGTCACACAATTAGTAAGAGTCACGGGCTGGCCTGCTCCAAGTCAAGGTGCCTTAAAATATCCTTACACTGAACTGAAATCTGCCTCCTGGCAGATTATACCCACTCCTTCTACTCCCTCCTTCCAAAACAAAAGAAAATTAAAAAGTGGGTTTCCAAATTCAGATTTACTGTTTCTGAGGTTTAAAAGATAGTGATTGAATTGTCTGGTGGCCCAATGGAGAAAGAGCTGCATTTGGAGTCTAAAAGACCTATGATCAAACCCTGCCTCAGAAACTTTTTTTAATGTATTATTTATGTTTAACATTCTTTTCTTTTTAAATTTTGAGTTCCAAATTCTCTCCTTCTGTCCCATGCCCTTCCCCTACCCACCAAGAAGGCAAGCAATATACCAATTATACATATAAAATCATGCAAAACATTTCCATATTGGCCAGGAAGTGAGAAAACTGTACCTCAATTTACCCTCAGAGTTCATCAGTTCTCTCTGGAGGTGGATAGCATTTTTTCATCATGAGTCCTTTGGAACTGTCTTAGATGATTGTATTGATCAGAGTGTCCAAGTCTTTCACAATCGATCATCATTACAACATTGCTGTTACTATGCACAATGATCTCTGAATTGTCTTACTTCACTTTGCATAAGTTCCAAATGGTGTTGCCATGTTTTTCTGAAACCATTATAGCACAATAGTACTCCATCACAATCATGTACTGTATCTTGTTCAGTCATTCCCCCATTGATGAGCATCCCTTTGATTTCCAATTGATTTCCAATTCTTTGCCATCACAAAAAGGACTTTTGTACATATGGGTCCTTCTCCTTTAATCACTTTGGGATATAGACCTAGAACTGGTATTGCTGGGTCAAAGGGTATGCAGAGTTTTATAGCCCTTTGGGCATAGTTCCAGATAGTTTTCCATAATCTTTGGACCAGTTCACTACTCCACCAACAATTCATTAGCGTATCTATTTTTTCCCTCATCTCCTCCAGCATTTGTCATTTCTGATAGGTATGAGGTGGGACCTTAGAGTAGTTTTAATTTGTATTTCTCTAACTAATAGTGATTTAAAGCATTTTTTCATATGACTATAGATAGCTTTTGCTTTTTTTTCTGAAAACTGCCTATCCATATCCTTTGACCATTTTTAAACTGGGGAATGGCTGTTATTTTTACACATTTGACTCAATTCTCTATGTATATAAGAAATGATGCCTTTATCAGAGAAACTTGCCATGAAATTTTTTTATACTACTTCATTGTCTATGGTAACTTCTAGCAAAATGTAGTTACCCTAATTATCTCTTGTAATGCAGTCAATTTTTGTTTTTGCTTTGTCTGAGATCATAATTGCTACCCCTCCCTTTTTTTACTTCAGCTGAAGCATATTAGATTCTGCTCCAAGCCTTTATTTTAACTCTGTGTATGTCTTTCTGTTTCATGTGTGTCTCTTGTAAACAACATATTGTAGGATTCTGGTTTCTAATCCATTCTGCTATGTGCTTTCATTTTATGGGTGAGCTCATTCTATTCACCTTCACAATTACGATTACTAACTGTATTTCCCTCCATCCCATTTTCTTGTTTCTTCTCTTTCTTTTAATCCTGTCCCTCCTCAAAAGTTTATTTTGCTTCTAATTATGGCTTCCCTTAATCTGCCCTCGCTTTTATCATCCCTTTCCCCTTCTCTTATCCCATGCCTCTGAGAGGCATAATGATCTGCTTTCCTTCTAATTTTTATGTCATGTATCCATTTAGCATATATTGTAGAATACAGTATAAAGTTTTGATGTAAGCCTAATTTCTTCCAGATGGGGCTGCCCCTGGTCCCATGCCTCAGGAGGTCCTGCTCTTTGGAAGAATCTGCTCATCATAGACTCAAAAAAGTATTAAGATATAAATGAAACATGCAGAATAAAACAAAGTAATTACGAATGACCTGTATGACCAAGTCAAGGTAACTTTATTTGTATGGGATATATTAAAAGGGACATGTGAAACTCTGAGTGCACTCAAATAAAGCTGGCCAGCTGTCCAAGATTACATGGTGTGAAGGAATTATGCAAATAAAGTAACTAAACTATCCATACATTTTGAGCCAGAGGTTACATTTCTATGTTTATTCCTTGAGGAGGCCATTGATAAGAAGAAAGTCCCCATATAACTAAAATCTTTTATGGTACTTTTTATGATAGAGAACTCAAAACAAAGTAGATGTCCATAGCCTGGGGAGTATCTAAATAAACTGTGGTACACGAATGTAATGGAATATTACTAAGCTATAAGAAGGCAATGGAAGGACAACACTGGACTTGCCCCCGTAGCCATCATCCAGAGGAACAAGCCCCATGGAGGAGCCAGCCATACTTACCAACTGCCAACCACAGGGCATATAAAAAAGCCTAGCTAAAGCAGCAAGGCATCCTGGCAGAGACACAAGAGCAAAAGGTCAGGCCATGACAAACTACCTCCACCACCTCTCCTCTGACCCTGATGGAGAAAGCCCAGGATGTTGAGCCCAAGAACTGCAGGAAGAGCAGCACCATCACTCCTAGACCACTAAGCCAGCTCCCACAGCTGCCATCCTGCAAATCATCATTGTGGAGATGCAATTTGGTAACACAACTGCTTCTGCAGGTGCTTCAGCCCCCACCTTCTTAGTAGCTGCAGCTTTCACATACCTAGAAATTTCTTATCACCGAAGTCTTCAGTTATCAAATGGTTGTGTCAGAATTAGATATTATTTTTTTCAGTGGAAATATTAAATAAGATGCATTACCAACTATCCACTTTGCTGCTGCAGCCTAAGACTACAGGGTCTTTCCAAATGACTGGAACCTCCTATGTTGTCCTCTATTGGAATGTGAGCTTCTTGAGAGTTGAGTCTTGCTTTTCTATTTAAAGCCCAACCCCCATCACCCTGCAGTGAGCACAGTGCTGCTGTACAGAAGTGCTTACTAGCTGTGATTCTTAAAATCTAGCCACTGCTTACTCATGTTCAGACTCCTTAAGAGTCTGCCCAATACAATAATCTAATAAACCTTGTCTTTGGCTGAAAGAAGACTTGGGTCAAATTCCTTCAGGCAGGACCCGCGTGTTGTGATTTTTGGGGTCCCAGGACCCCTGAACCCCTAAACTGCATCATTTTGGTGGCCTGTATGGGGAAACTGCCTAACCCCAAGTTCTTCTCCAGTCAAGACTGGAAGGTATGTAAGCCTCCCCTCCCTCCTTTCTTGCTCTGCAGTTGGGGTTGCTCTCCAAGCATCAAGGCTTGGAGGTGCTTTTCGGACAGACAGTTACGAGGCTGTCTCTCACTCGACCTGATGCTGTCAGGCTCTTGGTCCACCGGGTCAGTTCAAGGCCATGGACCTGGGTACACTTTCCACAGCACAGAGGACAAGGACAGAAGCCCTATCTGGAAGTGTATGCTCAATTTTATTAATTCCCTTGACGCTAGGGAATTGGGGAAAACTGCAGTTGCTTTTTTGGTTCCCTGAGGCTTACTTACTCCCTTCCCTCTGTACCTCTGAATCCTCCTTCCTGGAGGTTACAGGGAAAGTTAGAACAGCTCAAAATATCTTGGCAGATTCTGGAGGTTTTGTGATTGATCATTAAGGAGTTTTGAAACACCTGTACAACCTGGTCACTCCCTTCCCTTGAGTCAAGAGGGTATCTGTTAACCCTTCTCATAGGACGAGAGAGTTTCACCCTTTACCTCTCACCTTTGATTTCGCCCTCCCCCACCTGGGAAAGGAAGGAGGGGGGAGGGGCAGCAGCTATGGCATGCTGCCACCCACCCCAGTCCCCAGCAATGGCCTTGGGGCCTGGAAGCATCACTCAGATTCAGCACATCCTGCTCAAGGTAATGAAGCTAGTCTCCAAACTTGGGTAAGCATGCTCTTTTAAATTTGTAGTTTTAACTGTTAATGATGAGATGTTGATTCTCCGTGTAAAGTAATTTGGAAGTGCACTTGACAAAACTGAAGTCACTTGATTGGTAATGGGTTTGTTTCAAATTTCAAATTGGTGAACTTTCTGTATCAGTTATGTCAAGCAACTTTTCATAACTTGGTTGCCACTAAAATAATTTAGCTATTGTTGGTTATTGTTTTAATGTGTAAACTAACCAAAAAGCTTGTTTGGGTTATGTATGGCTTGCTGAGAGTTTGCAAGGGTATAGAAATCTCTAATGATCGGCTTTTTACATTAGGATAAATTTAAGTTTGATATGTAAGTCCTGGAAAAGTTTTTCCTAAACTGTGACTAGTAAAACTTGCTGTTTGAGGTAAAAGCTCATAGGATTTTGAGTTGTCTGATGGGTCATAATCCATTGATAATCAATAATCCACCACCTGAGAGAAATGCCACAAGCTACTCAGAGAATGTAATACTGGTGGGAAGTCAGCATTGGGAAATGCTGAGAGGACAATTTTAGCCTCAGTCTAAGATGGGATCCTCCTGGCTCACTTTCACCATTATGTTCCTTTAAAAGGGAATGTTACCCACCTGGCTATTCCTGAGTCTGGCTATGAGGTGCATTTGATACTGCATGGTTGGAAAACGCAATTATCTGAATCCAAACAGAGCTAAGGATCTTTTATCCTCTCAAAGTTGGGCCCTAAATCTAGTCTCTGTTTTATATCTGGGCCCTGCAATCTTTTCTGTCAGATTTGTGTCTTCCAGACTACAGGCCAGTCACCTACAGTTGGAAGCAAACAGCGAGTACCAGCCAATGTCCCCCCATTGTTTCCTGGATGCAGCCTGTGCTCGATTCCAGTCAACCTCCTCTTTGGGACAGGGACAGCTCTATGCCCCTTGCCAGCAGGAAGCAGTTTCAAAAGCCGAGACCTTTTGCCCCTTACTCCAAAAGAATTTGGGTTCCATTTGTTTGAGGAGGGAATGATGGCATTGGGATCTGGGCCCCAGAAAGGAAAAAACTTTCCCACAAGGCCAAATTTCTGGCATTTCCCCCCCCCCAGACTATAATCCCATCAACTGGCCTTTCGTTGTGGCTACACCAATCTCCCCTCCATTGTCTTGCCTCCCTGTGGCCCCAGGCCACTTCTCACCCTTGGTAATTCTATTACTTCATGGACTACTTGGCCACTCCTGGATCCCTCTCACAGGCTTTCTGTATATAAGGTCCATCTTGTCTCCACTAAGATGCTGGGACTCTTATAATCTAGCCACTACTTAGATTCTTATAATACAGCCACTGCTTACTCATGTTCAGACTCCTTAAGAGTCTGCCCAATATGACAGTGTTCTAATAAACCTTGTCTTTGGCTGGAAAAAAAAAAGTGCTCACTAAATGCTTTTCTAAGCATTCATTTGTGGCTTGCCATTTGCTTTCCTTACAAAGGCAGTAGGAAATACAAATAGTGTTATCCCCATTTTTCAGATGGAGACTGAGGTTGTCAGAGGAGATTTATCCATGGATGTGCTTCACTTGGTCAACCATTCCTGAAAGAGACAAGTGACTGACACCCTCCTTTCTCAGACAGTAATTTTCAGATCTTGTGGCACTAGATGTCAGGGCACACAATGCGCTTGAACCCCAATGAATAAAGAGACAATTTTGTTTGAAAGAGGGAAAATTTAATGAGGAATTTGAAACAACATGGACTTTGAGGGAATTATCCAACTCAATACAAACACGAAAAGTCACTTGGAAAAAGAATTCTGTTCCCTCTTCTGGGCTCTGCTGAACCTCCTACCTCCTACCCTTAACCAAAGGAGAGGGAGACAAGGGGTGGGAAGGAGGAAGGGGTAAAGAGCTACAGGGAGGGAAAGACAGGGACAGTGGGCAGGAGAGAGAAAAGAAGGGGAAAGAGAGTGAGCAAGCTGGTGCACAGCACTCCTACATGCGTCTCGCACCAGGCAGGGAGGAGAGGAAGAACCCCAATGCAGCTATGTATTCCATTCTGCTGATCGGGAAGGGAAGGGCCAAAAGAGGCTGAGGGGAAATCCTATGCATCTCTAAGTCCTTCCAACTACTCCCGTCATTCAACAAACATTTATCAAGTGCTTCCTATGTTTCAGGCACTATACTAAAGGCCAAGGATACAAAAACCAAATCAAAACAGTTCCTCCTCTCAAGGAGCTTACATTCTAATGGGAGGGCCAACATACACACATATAAGTATCTACAATGTTCCTTTCTTCTTACTGGATCATCTCTAGCCTATTCACCAACTGTCCCCGAGGGTTAAAGGCAACCCCTAGACCCCCAGAAAAACAACATAAACCCCCCCATTATCTTCTGCAATTCAAGTTTTAAGTCAAATTTGATGTCTGTAATGGGAGAAAGCACAGCATTGACTGCACCTTATTAAGGGATCAGTCAGTTTGGGGTTTGTGTGTGTTGGTATAATGAGATTTATTTTTCTGCAACAAGTTCATACTGGAACCAGGATCCCTCCTGCTCCAACTTCCATCTTCTTGGTTGAAGAGAAAGAGATATTCAAAGCTGGGTGACTTTATAGGGGAGGGGAGTAAGCAGGGAAGGAAGTTGGGGAGGGGTCTTGGTTTCTGTTTTCCCATATTTTCTAAGCTAAGTCTTTTTGTTAGCTCTTCTTCATTGGGGGAAAGGGGATGAGAGCTGTGGGGGTACTAGGGCAAGAGCCTGAAGGACAAAAGTGGGTCAGGTCAGGGGGAAGCATCTCAGTGGGGCCCTGGGGACCCAAAACGCTCCATGGTCTGCAGCACCAGAGCCAGATAGTCCAAAAAGGTGGTGATAGAGGCTTGGAAGAATCGTGCTTCTTCTGCTCTCCAGTGGAGAACCAATTTGTTCCCAATGACGGTTAACTCCCGCTGGACACCATTCCGGCGAGGCTCAGGATCTGGGTCCAAAGAGCGGCATGCAATCTCTGCTTCCATAGGGGATGGGAAGGGGATTGACAGAGAGAAGTCATAGAAGTCACGGCCGTGGTTGTCTACTGTGGAGTTGCTGTCTCCTCCGGGGCCTGGATGGTGTGGTCTTTGGATGGATGCCTCCATGCCTGAAAAGTCAATGTTGCATCAAAGAAAAGTCCAACCCTGCTAATGACAGAAATCACTTCCTCAATCAAGAATAAAAGAATGGCTCCAACTACTGAGGGTTGTCCCAATCAAACTAGAATCTGCACAGAGATGATTGCATGGGTTGTGGTTAGGTGTGTGACTTCATTTCCCAGAATGAGACAAGGTGTGGGACCCCAGGAGTGGCCCATATCTGTTTGAGTCCACTGATGGTTTATATGTTATCAATAAACCCTGTATTTAGCTTAGAGGTAAGTGTGGTGGTGGCTGTTCCTTGAAATACTGGACTAATGAATCTGGAATCAAAACGAGGATATCAAGGAATAATGAATGAAAGCCAACATGTATCCAGTGCTTTAAGGTTTGGAAAGTGCTTTACATATACTATCTCATTTCCGCCTCACAACAACTTTATGAAGGGGGTGCTATCATTATCATCCCATTTTATAGATGAGGAAACTAAGACTCAGAGAGGTCTAATGCCATAATCATAGTCACACAGACACAAAGGATCAGGAGCAGGACTGGAGCCTCGCTCTTGCTGAAGCCAAGCACAGTGTCCAGCCACTCTGCTGCGCTGACTCAGAGTATACCTGAGCTGCCTCATTTAGGCCGGCGACCTCTTAGGACCAGAGTGTATCCACTGCCTGGCAATCCAGGAACAAAGAAGCACTCTGACCCATGGTTTCCTGTTGCCAAACAGCTTCTCAAACCATCTCCTTGGCTGGATGGATCAGAGAAGAATGACCTCTTAGCGAACTGGCAGAAACTATGACAGGAGATGAGCTGATCGTCTGAGCATTGAGGTCACAGAGGAGACTGGTTGCTTTTGATATTGGCTGGCAAGTTATTAGAGTTTAAAACTGCACTGAGACTTCTGTGACTCCTTGAATAGGTATATATTGCACCCCCCCGCCTTAGAATGTAAGCTCCTTGAGGACAGAGAGTATTTCTTTTTTTCTGTGTAATCCCAGTGCCTATCACAGAGCCTGGCACATAGGTGACTAATAAATATCTACTGACTGACTGTGAAGGACTATGGAGATTTTTGCAAATTTCCTCATCAGGAAGAATCTGTTTATGCAAAGTTCTTTACAGTGAACCAAAGGATGTCTGAATCTGACTTTCAGCACTTTTCCTGTTTGCATTTTTGTGCTTTTAATATTATTTTATTTTATTTTTTAGGCAATTGGGGTTAAGTGACTGCCCAGGGTCACACAGCTAGTAAGTGTCAAGTGTTTGGTCTGAGGCCGGATTTGAACTCAGGTCCTCCTGACTTCAGGGCCGGTGCTCTATCCACTGCACCACCTAGTTGCTCCTTTTTAATATTATTTTAAAGACACACAAAAAATATGTATTTGTTGAAAAGAGTCCCACCTCTGACACACCCTAGATGCTTAACCACTCAGTGCCTCAGAAAGCTAAGACTCTAACTGCACAGCAGGGACGATCTGCACTGCAGAAGTCTCTGCACTGGAAGCTCCCTTGTACCAATAAAATCTCAGGTCCAGTCCAAAAACTGAATTTGACTGGGTGCAAATTACAGTGAATCCCAGGGTCACAGCTTTAGAGTTGAAAGGGACTGAGAGACCATGTAGTAGTGCCTTCAGCCCATCCTCACACTGCGTGATAGCTAGGCCTCCGCATTCACTAGCCTGGTTACCCTGTTTTGGATACACTCAAGGTTAGCAATGTCTTTCCTGAAATGTGACGCCTAGAACTGAGCACAGTACTGCAGACATCATGACCAAGGTTGGGTACAGCAGGACCTACTTTGTGTGGACACTAAGACACTCTAAATTCAGCCTAAGGTTATGTTAGCTTTTTTTTGGGCTGACATATTACCCTGTTGATAAAGTCTACTAAAACCTCAAGATCTTTTTCAAACAAACTACTATCTATTTTATTGTTCTCCTCAATCTTGTACTTGTGAAGTTGATTTTTGGAGCCCACGTGTAACTTCAAATTTATCCCTCTTCAATTCATATTTATCACCCAATTAAGATTCTGGCAGCTATTAATCTACCCACCTACCTCCAGGTTACTCTTTCTTCCTCAATGAATTCAGTGCCTTGCTCATACTCTTTCTCTCCTCCCCAACTCCTGCCCTCATCATAGTAAGTGATGATGTCAACATACAAACTGATACTCCCTCCAACACCCTAACTTCCCAGTTCCTCAACTTACTCATTTCCCCAGATCTATTCCCCGATCCCGCCTTAGCTACACAGAAAGGTAGTTTACACTCTCGATTGTGCCATCAGCCATAAATGTTCCACCACTCCCATGTACTCTGAAATCTCTTATCATTCCATCTTTCTGTCTTACAGCCTTTAAGCCTGATCTTCCCCCTCACTGTGACCTCCAATCCTGCCCTCCCTTCAGCTCTTTCCTAGGCCATCACCCTGTACTGAGTCCCCACTCTTCCCTCCCCATCTTGACCACTTGGCGAAGTGCTGCAACTCTAGGCAAGAGGCCCAGCACCTCTACCCCATCACAGATCCTGCCAAACCCCAGATTCGGATCACTCCTACCATGGGCTGCTGAACCAAAGAAACCAAAGAAATTGTTTGGGTTTGCCTCCCTTCCGCCACCACTCTGGTGAAGGCCCTCATCACCTCATGCCTTCGCTTTTGCAACAGCCTTCTGGTTAGTTTCCCTGCCTCAAGTCTCTTCTCGTCCTCCACTCAGCTGTGATCTTCCTAAAGCCCAGATCTGACCACGTCACCCCCACCTCCCGCTTGATAAACTCCAGTGGGTCTCTATGACCTTATACCTCACTCCTCCACACCTGCTTTGTGATTCAGTGACAATGGCCCTCTCTGTTGTTGTTTAGTTGTGACTGGTAAGAGTTTTTCATTTCTTTGTGACCCCATTTGGGTTTTCTTGGCAAAGATTCTGGAGGGGTTTGCTGTTTCCTTCTTCAGCTCCTTTTACAGATGAGGAAACTGAGGCAAACAGGGTTAAGTGACTTACCCAGGGTCACATAGCTAGTAAGTGACTGAGGGTCAGATTTGAATTCAGGAAGATGAGTCTTCCTAACTCCAGGCTAAGTATCAGCTAAAATCCCACCATCTACAGGAAGCCTTTCCTGGTCCTTAATGCTAGCGTCTTTTCTCTGAAATTATCTCCAACTTAACTTGCATATATCTTGTTAGTATGTAGTTTTTTACATGCTTCTCATCTCTCAATTAGACTGTGAGGTCATTAAGGACAGGGATTCCTTTTGCCTTTCTTGTATCCCCAGAACTTTGCATGCTGCCTGACACACAGCAGGCACTAGATAAACATTTGCTGGCTTGACTGGATGTTTACTACTACATGGGCCTACCATGCTGCCATGACAGATGCTTCCCCCAATCATCTTCCCTTCTCTTCATCACTTTTTACTCAGTCAGTTACCATTCTTGCATAAAACAGTTTTGATGTCTCTTCTCCTCTTACCAACCCTATATACTTCCTCTCTTACTCTAACACAAAGCCCTTATCTTCTTCCCTATAATCTAGCCCCAGTGTCAACTTCTATAGTCTGACCCCATCTCACAGGTCCAATCTGATCTCCCACTATCCCCCAACAGAAGTCCAACTTAGCTCCAGCCAAGCTTGCGCCTCATCCCTGGTTCTCTCAAACCCAACACACTCCTTCCTCCTCCTACTCTGCAGAAGGTTGGCTAGCCTCCATGATCTCTTCACTAAGTATCCAAACCCCTATCCATTATTCAGGGTAAGGCCCTCCTTGACAACCCAGCGGTCTCTAACCTTTCACCTATGAGGTCATAGAGGACTACCTGTCATAACCATCCATTCTGAATAAATGTGAGTAAAGAACACAGAGGGAGGTAACGAGGCAAGTGATGAGAATACCCTATGGAGCATCTATGAGCAGAGGCTCAGTCTCCAGAGGAATTCAACTTGGATTAAGGTATCTAGATGGAACTTCACTATGTAGAGAAGCCAAATGTCCAAACTCAAATCTGCCTCTAGTCTTGACTATGTAACTGACTACTGTGAGACCCTAAGCAAGTCACTTAATCCCTCAGGAACAAGTTTGTTTTTTGCAAAATGAGAGAAAAATGCTTGCCTACCTATCCAAGAGACTTTCGTGAAGACACAGCAGGAATAAAAACATGAAAGTACTTTGAGCAGTTAAAAGATAAGTTCTTACCAAATACTTCAGGGCAAGAATGTCTGAGGCCTTTAGGGAGAAAGGCTTGGAAAAGTGATGGGGTAACTGGGCTGTCAACCAATGGAAAAGCACAGGAATTCTTAACTTTTCTTTAAGTAAAATGCCCCTTTGGATCTCCTTCCCAGAATAATGTTTTTAAATGCATAAAACAAAATAGCAATACAAAGGAAATCAATTACATTGAAACATACTTACCAAAATGCTTTTGAAAACAAGTTCCTCAGGTTAAGAACCTCTCTACTCTAAAGGATATTTTACAGCATAGGGAGGACTGAGATCAAGGATGTGATAAATTAGAAGCCCAAAATGACACTCTCATTTGTTAAATCTATTGATACCCTGACGACAGGGAAGACTTCTTTCTTTATTATTATCTACTCAGAGGCCCTTCCCCTAAAGTAGAGATGCAGCATGACTTAAGAGCCTTCTTGGAGTCAGGTAAGACGTAGATTTGATTGCCTGCTTCCTACACTTAAGTAGCTTTTTGACCTCCCTGAAACTCTCTGGGCTTCAATTTCCACATATAAAAAATGGAGATAATACCTATACACAGTAGGGTTAGGAGAATCAAATAATGAATGGAAAGCACTTTGTCACTAATGGGATGCTATCCTCCCCCCTCCCCAAATACCTGGGTAACTCCTCACCTCTCTCCCCAAGCAGGTGAGGCTGATTCTCCAGGTTCACTCTCCTCACTGGTCCGATGACTTCCCTGGTCTTTCCCGGGTAAGGATGGGAACTTCAGCACCAAGATGTGTCACTTCTTGTGATTCTCCACGGAAACTCTTGACAGGAGATCTGAAATCAAGGCTGTGTCTCTTTCTAGGATGAAGTCACGCTTCTTCCACCACCTTCATCTCGGCTGCTCCACTGAAGCCAAGACCTGGAGCTAAGGAGCAGAGTCACTTTAGTCAGATCTTTCTCCCTCGGGCCAGATATGTCTTCCCAGCAAGGAACTCTCCCTCTTTTGTCCAGGCTTAGGGTAAGTTTGGAGGCAGCTAGGTGGCTCGGTGGATACTGAACTAGCTGGAAGACCTGAGTTCAAATCCCGCCTCACTTACTTGCTGTGTGACCCTAGGCAAGTCACTTAATCTATGTTTGCCTTTATCCACTGGAGAAGGAAATGACAAACCACTCCAGGACCTTTGCCAAGAAAACCCCAAAGAAGAGCTGGACGAGACTGAATGACTGAACGACAACAGCAGCAATACGAACAACAACAACAGAGCAATATTATCAGTCTGGAGCAAAGGCCCTAAAGAAATACCAAGAGACATAGACACACACACACATTCACAAGCCATGCCGGGAACACCAAGCAGCCAATGCGGGTGATACGGGAAGAGACGCCGAGCTGCAGGGCCCGGGGAGCAAAGACCGGCCGGCCCGCTCTGCGCGCTCCTCGGGAGCCCGGGCACGCTCGCCCAGGCCTCCGCTGTCCGGGGGACGCTCACGCCTGGGTCACCCCGAGCCCGCAAACCCACACACACATCGACAGAACGCAATCGCACAACCGCGAAAAGCCATAACTCGGGCTCTAGCTCCCAAACTCACACCCGCATCGAGAGAACACGACCACTAACCCGCACACAACAGGCCGGATGACGCCCACAATACGCGCACGCGCACAAACGCACGCACACGCGTTCACAAGCTCGCCGTCTGCCCCACGACACAGTTCATACACCCTTACCATGCCGTCTGGGCAGGGGCCCTCCCGCGGGTCCCCCAGGACCGCCCGAGGACCAACCACCGCACGCCCCAGGTGCCCCCGCAACCCGGAGATCGAAAGCGGCCAATGCTCCCGAGAAACCGGCTGAGCCGCGGAGGCCGCTGGGAAACAGCCTTTGGGAGCAGCCGGGTCACAGCCGGGTCACAGCCCAGAGGATTCTGGGAATCGTAGTTCTCCTTGTCACTCTGCACAGCGTATTTTCGTATCGATCGGGGTGCCTTCCCCTTTCTCCTTAGTTATTGGTGGTCTCTGCCTTTCTCAGGGATGATCTGCATCCGTGAACTTCCCTGACCGTGACTGATGATAATAATAACAAATAATATTTATATAGCACTTTAAAGTTGGAAAAACTCTTTTCATCCATTAGCTTATATGTGAAGGAGCATCTAACACATTCTCGCTCCTAGACACTCATTGTTAAATTTTCTGTCAGTCAATAAACAATCAACATTTAATAAGAGCCTACTACGTGCCAGCCACTGTGCTAAGCACAGGGGACAAAAAAGAGGTAAAAGACACTAGCCCTGCCCTCAAAGAGCTTACAATCTAACGGGAGAGACAATAAGCAAACGTACAAACAAGCTCTATGTGGACTTTATATATATTATCGTTCTTCCTTCTCCAAGAGGACCCCAAAGACATCACTGTGTTAGAGTCAAGTTACAGTGTGTCCAACTGTGGCTGATCAGACCAATAGGAACTCAGGAATGCTCTACCACAGGTTGGGCATAAATAGTCCATATGAACATTTGGAGTGGTTTCTCAAAATTTGCTTATCTTGGAGTTAGTTTCTTTTGAGCTACTTCAATTCTGGTTTGCTCATAGAACAACTTCTCTGATGAGGGCACACCATACTGGGGGTTCCTGTGCCAATGTCTCCCATGTCATGCAATCATTTCCAAAGTTCTAAGAGAGACTTTGAGAGTGTCCTTCTATCACTTTTTCTGACCATCATGTGAACACTTGCCCTGTGGAGTTCTCTTAGGCAAGAGTATGTTTGGCATTCAAACAACGTGGCCAGCCCATTGGAAGTTCGCTCTCTGCAGCAGAATGTGAAAGAGTGGAGACTTGAAGAAAGCCAGGGAAGCCAGGAGGGTAGAAATGAGGAAAGAGAAAATTCCAGGGATGGCTGACAGCCAGAGAAAGTACCTGAAAGGGAGAGGTAATATTGTTGAGCATGTTGTTCCAGGATTGGCCAAGAAGGCCAGCGTCACTGAATCTGTACCTGCTGGGGAATCATTTTTCAGTGTGAGTAATTTTTCAATAAGCAATTTACACCTCAGAAACCCAGGATGATTACAGATCAGCGTTCTGTTATTTTTTTATTTTCTAGGCTTGAGAGAATGTTAACAATTCAGATTCAACTTAAAAATGTGTGTATATTCTACTCCCACCCACCCACCCAGTGGGACCCAGTTGTCATTTACCAGCACACTCCCATATTGCTCGATAGACACTGTTTAAGCTCAATAGGAGTGTAGCAGAAGGCTCGGGCACTGAAGATATTACCAGACTGGAGGCCTTGTGGCTGTAGATTAATAAATTATAAGAATAACTGGCATTTATTATAGTGCTTTAAGGTTGGCAAAGCCACCGTTATTTATTTGAGCCTGCAAAACTGCCTTCCTAGATACATTTTCATCCTTTTCTCTAAAGGGAGATGTCCTTCATGACCCTATCGTTGAATATTTTATCTCTCTCCACCTTCTTTCTTAGTGGGCTCATCTCTCTTGAAGTTTCAATTGTCAGTGTTATAAAATTGACTATTCAAACTCATTCTCTCCCCCTGAGTTTCAGTCCCACATTTGCAATTACCTAGTGAATATTTCCATCAAGATGTTCATTCAGCATCTCAGACTCAACATACCCAAAACTTATCTCTGTTGCCCTAATGATCCTATATATATCTCATATATTTATTCTATATATAGATAGTTGTTTGTATGTTGTCTTCCCTATTAGACTGTGAGCTGCTTGAGAACAGGGACTGTTTTCCCCCTTTTTTTTGTATTCCCAGAACTTAGCAAAATACCTGGGTACATAGTAGGTGCTTAGTAAATGTTTATGGACTGATTGACTGAACTCATCTTTCTTCCCAAACTTCCCCCTCCTTCCGACTTCTCTATATCTATTGTTTAGACCAGAGGTGTCCCACAAACAGCATTTTGACTGCAACAGTTTGGTCTGAACTGGATTAAAATGTAATTGGGAAATATTTAACAAAATAAACGCTCAGTAGAATATAGATAATGCTAATAGATGTTTTAAAAGTCAATATGCAGTCCACAGGGACAGGTTAATGACCTTCTGTTTCTATTTGACTTTGACACTGCTGGATTAGACCAAGACTTCTTAAACTTTTGCCACTCTCGACCCTGTACTAGTTTTAGCAGCATTCATTGGTGCTGTGTGGGCGTGACAGCATGTGCAATGGAAAGTGCCCACGTCGTGTATTCAGAACCAAGGCTGCAGTGAAGTTGCGCGATGCAACTGGGTTACTGTGTAAAGGGACACCTTTTCCCAACACTCAGGTGACATGGAATGCTTTATGATTCCAGTAGCTTTGGGTCTTCTTCTCCCTGGGGCCCTTGGCAATATGTCTGATAGCATGACACCAGCTGCTCCTTCCCAGGCCCATAGCAGAGGCAAGGACATTGTTACTCTTGTGACTGTAGATCTGCAAGATCCAGAATGGGTCTCTGAGAGATATGTCCCATCTTAGGGACTGCCTGAGACTCTGCAGATTTGGACTGGGAAAACCCAAAAGAAGAGCAGTAGTAGATGTAGCAACTTCAGACCAAAGAGAGAAACCTTACCTCATTATGAACTTCCTTCCTTGCCACTATGGTTGAACAAGAAGTGAGGCTACACATGGCAAAGAGATGTGAAATAACCACTGATTCTACAAAAAGTGTACCTACACAAACACTTGGAACCCAACACAGTTATCTTCTAGGCTTGCATGTTGGACTTGGCAGCATCCTCTGGGTTCCATTGAATGTTTCTGAACTCCTGACTTCTAGGGAGTAATGCCACTAAAGCTTGAACGGATGTTTGCTCCTAACTCCTCTGACTCTTTCCTTTGCATCCAAAGAGGAAGAACTTCCCAGAAACAAGACAAGGGCCAAGTCTGGCCTCGAAGGCTGCCAGGACATGGCTCTGTTGCCATCCCTTTCCTGCAAGAGACATAGAGGCCACTTCATCTATACCAGGGTTTTAAATCAAGGGTCCATAGATAGATTTCAGGGGGGCCATGGATTTGTTTTTTAAATTATTTAAAATAACAATTTCAATATAATCGGTATCTCTATCACCCTATGAATTTTATGTACTTTGAAACATTATTCTGAGAAATGGTGCATAGTCATCACCAAATAGCCAAAGGGGTCCATGACACAAAAATGGTAAGAGCCTCTATTCTAGATCTTTCCCAGGAAAACACCACTAACTCCTTTATGGAAGGGCCTAAGGAATGGAGAGGCAAAGTTTGCTCTTTGCCATAGTGCCACATGAGACTGTCCAGGAAGCCTAACCTTGCTCATTAGATATCTTCTAGTCACTAGACAGAGATGGAAAGGAGAATGAAATGTAACAGACCTCCTGGATTGAATATATCCCCAGAAAATGAAATGCTTTTTAATCTTTCCTTTTCTCTTTCAAAATTTTCTTTGCCAAACCCTTCATATTGGAAGAAAGAAATGTAGTGGGAGAGGAAAGAAGGGGATCAGAGAGAAAGATGCAATTTTGGAATATAAAGAGGTTTAGAGGGCAAAGAGGAGGTGAAGGGAAAATTACATGGGAGAGAGGAAGAGGACAAGTAGTAAGGGTATTGAACATTAACATTTATGCCACTCTCATCTCCACTAAATAAAATAAGATCATGAATGACACTTTCCCATTTTAAAGCAACATTCATTCACTGAAAAGGTGGAAAATAACAGAAGACTAAGGAAGAGGAGCCTGCAGCAATGGAAGTGCATTGCAGTGAGGGGCCAAGAGCCAAGATTGCCACTCTTTTCATTGTGCCAAAGTTTGGCCTGGACAAGATGGGTTTTTGGTTGGCCAACAAAAAGAGCTGTTTTTCCTGTTCAAGAAAAATATCCAGAAATTAGGAGGAGGGTACCCTTTTATTTGGAACTGTACTCCTTAGTCCTCCTGACCTCAAGGCCATCACCTGGAAATAGTGGTATGGTCTGTATTGGGGGTTATCAGTCACTCTTCTCTGTCTCCATGAAGAGCCCAGTTGAGCAAAGTAAAATGGTTGTTTTCCAGAGAGTCTTTTTAAAGATGCTCTCCAGGGCCAGAGAGAAGAAATAGCACTTTGCTAAATTAAACCTCAGACATCAGTCATCTCTAATACCTCAGCCTCATGTTACTTGCTTTCAAGCAGGGTGGCCTGGGTTTCTTCAATAGAAGCCTGTATTACCTTCATACCCACTTACACTTCTTAACTGAGGAACAAAGAGATGTGCAATAGATCCAACCCCAAGACACAAAGGGGTACTGTAATCATTTTTATTAGCAAATTCGTCTACTTCGTAACTCAGGTATGCCCGAGGGAGCAAAGGTAAAAGACTGCAAGGAGCTGGCATATATTTTTAAGATCGTAACAAATATCAGTATTACATCACAAGCCGGCACTTCTGCTTTCCTATGGCAGGGATGTGTAAACACTCCTTGTTTTTCTGTTTTTGTCGGTTCTCCTAATCTTGTATGCATTTATCTGTGTTCCCGCTTGGTTTTACAAAACATTACTTTGTTACTCACAAGGTTATTTATTCAGTTTTCTTTTTTCATTAATTCATTTGATTATAGTATATTACAGGGATATTATTTTTATACATAAGCAAATAAGCTGTTTGCACAAATTATTACTATAGTATTACTATATATCTAGTCAAGGACCTCTATTTGGAAAAGATAAAGAGATACCCTATGGAGTGATTGCCTGTTGCCATATCTTTCACTGTAATCAGGCTTCCCTTGTAATGCTTGCTGGTACTGGCCTTTTAGGTGTGATTTTAATATTGGATAAAATTCCATTAAGCTTATACCGTGGATGCCTACAGGCTCTTACGGCTCACATCCGCTCTAGCCAGGAGCAGCAAGGG